TTCAAAGGAAGAACCATGTTCCAGCTTTAAAATCTCCCATGCTTGGCACTGTTTGTTATAAAGTTTGATGGAGGACTGGGATCTGTTTCCATTCTGCAAACACAGCAGATAAACAACCGCCCTGGGCTGTACACTGCCTTCAGCAGCACTGCCACTGCACTCAGCAAAACCCACCTTGTGTTCTGCAGAGTCAGACTGTCTCCTCTCTCGATGGGAAATTCTGACTGTCTCTCATTTTTGTGCTTCTGTAACATGCCCTTGCTTTGTATTATTCTTATGGGCATCGTTAAAAATATCTGACATTCTCTGAATCTCATCTAAATTTAAATTAGGGATGGGGAAAGTAAGATCTACAAGAAAACTGAAAGAACAATGCATGGGGAACGTTCTGGTGACATGTATTACTAGTATAATATAAACCATTACAGAAAGAAAACATACTTCAGCAGCTTATTTTTAAAGTTTAAACACATGATAAATAAAACTCAAGGCTTAGGTAATTCACAGCAATATCCAGATAATATTATCTATTACTTCTACCTTGGTTGATATTAATCTTGTAATTCCACATACTGCCAGTGATATCTTTTCAGATCTCTGTCTATCCCTTTGATGGGTGATGGAGAAAACCATATGTGCAGATCCATATAGCAATGAACTTTCTAAGCCAAACACAAGAACAGAAGCATTCCAGGAGAGAGAGGCTTGCCAAGACAAACAAGTTCTGCCAACATTTTAACACCACAGAAGGTCAGCTAGGTTATAATTAAGTCTAATTACCATTTTCATGAATTGCAACATCTTTTCACTTTGAAGGCACTTGGTGCTCAGAAAAAGATGATTTTCTATTTTCTGTTTTCTAAGAATCACAGTAATGAACATTCTAATCTTGGCTTTAAACCTGAATCATCACTTATCATCATAAAGAAAAAAGGCATGTCATCATTAAAAGGAAGAGACTTGTGCAGTTTATTTAACCACTAATACTTTCAAAGTGCTGCTTTTCCCTATTCCTCTGCAGTAATTTTACAGGTTTTCCCTCTTCTGTTCAGTACCACTCAGGATTTCTTTCATTATTCCACATTTTCTTTTTTCCTTCTTGTAGTTATATAACCTTTCTGCTTCACTTTAGCTCCCTATTTTTAATCCTCTATATATCTTCAGATCTTTCTCTTTGCTCCCCAGCCAGCTGGAGAATCTGACTGTAGTAGGCTCTCTTCTATTTCCACAGGCATGCCACACTTGCTACGTTAGACAGAACTGCACTGGGAAACTGCCTGAGCTTATCTCATCAAGGGAAAAGGTGAGATAAAAATTGGTGAAGCAAAGACATTTTTTTCTCCCCTTTTCCCACATGTCAACAGAAAGCAAGAGAGGAAAAACAACAGGAGCCATTTGGCTGCTTCTCCTCTATCAGGAGTACAAAACCTGGTTCCTGCTCATTCTGGTCTCATTCAAATGAGAAAGCAGCTGAAAAGCCTGGTCTATCAAATGTCACCCAGCTCAACAGGGAGACCCTTCAGCACCCTTAGATATGGCTGGAGGCTGCAGTTTGATAGCTGGCGTCAGCTGCTGTTGCATGTGGCCATCCCATACAAATGGGGGAAAAAAGCCTCTCTCAATTTCTCGGATGGCCCTCCAACAAAACGATAATTTGACCTCTCTGCAGGCTGGCAAGGAATCAAGGATTATTTGCTTTTAGACTCAAATAACAAACCTGGAAAACTGGAAGAACTGGTCAGCTTGTAGCACACTGTGCCCAGCAGCAGGGAGGTTTACAAAGACCCCCAACAGGGGCTCACATCAGCGGTGCTGCCAAAGACAGCCACATGCTTCCGTCTAGCACTGCTCTTCGTGCGAAGCATCGCTCTGAATCCAGCCCTGTTGCTGCAGTGCTGGTCCTAAAGCTGTCAGGAAGGGCAGTATGCAATTAGCAGTCCTGCCCCCCACACGCTGCATGCCTTCCTCCCTCCTATTAATGCTCTCTTCATTAACTCCTCTCAACTAAAAAGATGAGGCACATCTTTCTGACAGTCACTCTGTGTCTCAGCGAAGCGAGAAGTGCTGCCTGTGGGCTGCCTGCTACTCCCACTTCATCTTTTAAATGGAACATACAGAGCTATTGCAGAAGCAGGGCCTTCTACAAGCACAGGACCCCTCCTTTTACTAGTTACGTTTTATTTCCTCCAATTAAAATCTTGCTAATTCTCCCTGATCTTACTGCTTGAAACAGAAATTTATTCTTCTGGTGAAGAATTCCACATACCAGAAAAGATGATTCTGAAATGGTTGTAGTCTCATACAGCAAATAGTCTCTTAATAAATAAAAAGGATATTTTCAGTCATCATATGGTACTTCAAGTTCCACCTGTCCTACTGGAGATTCACATGTCATCAGTGAATGAAGTTGCCACTTCACTTAGCAACCCTGATGTCATGTAAGGATTTTTATTGTAGGTGGGGCAAAATATAAACCCACAGCACCCTGTTGTTTACTTCCAATTATATCCTTCATCTATACACTTAATTTATCCTCCCACATATTATTAATGCCTGTAACCCTACAAAAACATGTAGACTGAAATCCTTGACCCACTAAAGTTGCTGGGGGTTTTGCAATGGACTTCCAGAGCTTGGATTTTAGTTTCTCTTTCCCAGCTAATACATTACTTCTCTGATTACTTTAAATACATTTCTTTCTGTTTTCAGTCTTGCTGGGTTGAAAAAACATCTGCGGTGTGAAAGGATTAAGCTATTTTTCTGTAATTTACAATGGTGGAAGATGGTCTCAGCATGTTTAGGGCTAGAACAGAGTCTATGGTTATGTTTGCTTGGCAGTTCAGCATCTTATGACCGTCCCTGTTAAGTCTACAAAATTCAAACTAACTGCTGCTGAAACAATCCCTCCCAACCTACTGCTATACATACAGCCCTTGAAAACTGTGTATTACAAGTCCAAATGACATAGTAGGTTTACTATTTCAAGGTCATTTGGTACAGGTTAAGTGAAACTTTGAGTTAAACTGGTTCAAATATTAGTTCAATTACAGTTTCATATACTCTCACCTAGCAAGGTGAAAAGACCATACAAAACATAGAATAGAATCATAGAATAGTTAGGGTTGGAAAGGACCTTAAGATCATCCAGTTCCAACCCCCCTGCCATGGACAGGGGCACCTCACACTAAACCATGGCACCCAAGGCTCTGCCCAACCTGGCCTTGAACACTGCCAGGGATGGAGCATTCACAGCTTCCCTGGGCAACCCATTCCAGTGCCTCACCACCCTCACAGTAAAGAACTTCTTCCTTCTAAATACCAGTAAAGTATATCAAGCAAAACCCTACAGCTTGTTCCTTTGCTTCCCAAGCCTGAAATCCGTAATCTAGAGATCCACCACTTACTAGCACACATACCAGAGTATAGTCTGAGCAGATGGTTCAAAGCCAACTGTCAATCCATTTGCAGTTCAAACCAGTGGTGAACTCCTCCAGCTGTTTTCCAGATCAAAAATATTATTGTCATTTTGCTATCACTGCATGCTGTGGGTTATGCAACAAAAATGCACGTGTCCCTCTGCCTGGAATGCAGTTAATTTCCTCCCTCCCCACTGAGAGTGGTAAGTAACAATTCAGACTGTCTGGATGCTTCAGTTTTGAGCATGGCCAGAGATGCGACCCTGGAATTACTCCATGGGGTAAAATGCTATTTGTAACACACCAGCCTGCTGGAGGTCTGACAGACAGGGCATATTTTGCAGTTTGGAAAAAAATAAGCACTTTTGTCCTGTTTATACGCGACCTCTTAGTGTCTGTAGGGTACTGTGAATGCTTTGCTGTAGTTCTTCAGTTTAACCATATGCTTTGCTTTATGTTGGAACAGAATCATAGAATAGTTAGGGTTGGAAAGGACCTTAAGATCATCCAGTTCCAACCCCCCTGCCATGGACAGGGGCACCTCACACTAAACCATGGCACCCAAGGCTCTGCCGAACCTGGCCTTGAACACTGCCAGGGATGGAGCATTCACAGCTTCCCTGGGCAACCCATTCCAGTGCCTCACCACCCTCACAGGAAAGAATTTCCTCCTTATATCCAATCTAAACTTCCCCTGTTTAAGTTTTAACCCATTACCTCTTGTCCTATCACTACAGTCCCTAATGAAGAGTCCATCCCCAGCATCCCTATAGGCCCCCTTCAGATACTGAAAGGCTGCTATGAGGTCTCCACACAGCCTTCTCTTCTCCAGGCTGAACAGCCCCAACTTTCTTAGCCTATCTTCATATGGGAGGTGCTCCAGTCCCCTGATCGTTCTTGTGGCCTCCTCTGGACTTGTTCCAACAGATCCATGTCCTTTTTATGTTGAGGACACCAGAACAGAATGTTGAGTATTCTAAATAACTAGATGAAGTAATTGCTTGTATTCTGAAATCAGCCACTATATTTGATGTATACTTCGGTATGCAAAAATAAGGCATTGTACTCTGTTAACTTTAAAATAGCAGCATAATCCCATTTAGATTTGCAAATATCTAAACATCATGCAGGAGGTTAAACTCAGACTCCATAATGCTCAACCACTTCATGCAATTTGCTTATATAAAGAGAACAACTGGAACTCCTTTGCTTAGAACAGTGCACTCCAGAAAGAGAACTGATTTCCTCAGTGCAATCTTTTCTGCAACGTGCCTTTCATCTTTGTAAGTGCAGCTAACCCAGTGGTATTTACATATCAACTACATGATCAGAAAGACAGGAGCTGTCTTTCTCCATAAAATGTTTGCACCATACTTAACATCTCTCAGCTCTTCCTGTGATATAAATACAAAAGGGTGATCAACTGTATGCTTGGGTGTCAACTGAGATGAAACATTAACTCAATACTTAACTGCAGCAATTTCCTTTAATGTGTTATTACTTGGTCCAGCTTGTTCTGGGTTTCTGGCACAGTTTACAGATTACTCCTGTGGGGAGCACCTGCAGTGGTTTTACTAATCCTACCTGGTTAAATAGGCCAGAGCCAGCTCAGATCCCGACTGCTTTTTGGGCTCCACCTTTTTGATAGAGATCCCAGCTTCCCTCATCAGCTGCTTTTCCTTCTTCTTGCGCTCTTTTTTTAATTTTCTTTCCAGTTTCCTCCTTTCCTCTGCAGTAAGCTCCTCCTCTTCTTCTGTTGCCTAAAAAAACATTTAAATGAAGTTTACTATTTCTATAGGAAAGCAAAAAAAAAAAAAAGCATAAAAGCAATCATGCCTACTTTGCATATGCAATGAAAGGACACAGATAAAACCAGAAGCTTCAAGGTTCGTAATTTTACTGTTCACTATACTTCCATCACCTCTTTACTCTGCTCAATTCACAGGACTGTAAATACTGCACTTGAAGAAGCCTTAGAACTGCCCTCTCCAGACGGCTCTACTGTTCTCAGCAGTACAGTAACCAGAGCACCTTCTAGCTATATATTAAACATACCTAATACTGGTTGTGCAAAGCCCTGTGTACCTTGGGAAGCAGGAGGGATTTGGACACAATGAAGCCATCTCTTCTGCACTATCTCCCAGTAGCAACCAAGCAACCAAAGGAGTACAGAATTCTTCAAACAAGACTCTTTAACTGTACTGGTCTTGCTTTTAGATATTTCTAAGTCCAAGATGGGTGGTGCTAATTCGTAGCTTATATGATAGTTACAGATCTGAGAGTCCCAAAGAGAGCTTTGATACCTTCATCAAAGGTACCAAAGGTGCTTCTCAGCCACCTCCATGGTCAGGTACTAAAGGTATGCACAAGGACAGTAATGATTTGTGAGTAACTCCATTAATTAATCCACTTGTTCAGCAACAGTTGTACCAGGTTCAATAAGACAACCTGAGCAAGGGACAGTTTCCTGCAAGGCCAGGCTACATTTATAAGAAAACAGGACCTCTGGGTAGGGGAAAACTACCCACTGACAGCAGTGGAAATGGCATGGATGTAAGGTGGCCCAGAAAATGTCTACCTTATCTGTACACAGATGGGCTTTCAAGCAGACTACTATATGACAAGGACAGAATAATGGGAGATTGCACGTGAGTGTTTGTTATTTAAATCCATAATTCTTCTGCTCAAAATAAATACAGTACATTTTGTGGTGTTTCTGCCAAATCTGCATGTCTCTCGAATGCTTCAGCTACAAACTGTTGGAGTATATGTATAGGGAGAGACAAGCGAGGCAACCTGAAGGAACCACCCAGGCCTACAGCAGCTGTGTTAGCATCTTACATCCCAAGACTGGGGAAGATAAAGGAATTTAACCACCACCTCCAAGAGCAATAATTTTGTTCACAGAGTGGACTTAGTTCAAATCCAGCAGCTTTACTTGCATTGTACTTGCCAGGTGAGGACCTCTGCTAGAGCATCGGAAACCCACAGACGCAAAACTGAGTGGGAGAGAAACGTTCTTCCTCCTCTCCCTGCTCCCCCCTCACCTGTACTAGGGAACCATAACTGAAACCTGAATGCACAAGATCAACTGCTGTATGGAAAAATGGCTGAAGCTGCCATATAAACTCAAAAATCTTTAGCGTTTGTGATATCAATTTGTGTTAGTTGAGGGTTTCCAAATGAAAAACCTGACACGTTGCTCTTAACAGTATTCTTGCTGCTGTTCAAGCAAAGGGTAGTTAAACAAGGCAATACCTGAACACAAAGACACCTGCTGAGGACTAATATTTGTTCAGTGTCATGTATTGTCTAACTTTACTTTGCCTCATCTTTTCAACTTTCTGTTTTCAAAGACAAAAAGACACCAATAAAGCAGAAATTAGAACAATTGTGTATGGGACAGTAAAAAGAATTTAGGTTGGGTTGTTTGTTTTTTTTGTTTAAAATACTTGCAAGCTACTTTTATGGAAAAGCCAGCATTCCTGTGCAAACACATGCAAAAACCCAACACATGTTGCATTTATACAGAAGACGTTTTCTAACTCATGCTGAGAATAAAATAACATTTAGGGTGAAGGTAGGTATGTAATTGTTAGACAGGAAGCAATGTTTTCGGTTGAAAAGCCACCCTGGTCCTTACTAAAACAAGAACGCAGGCGCACAAAGCCCAGGAAAACACTAAGGGTGGTCATTTATAAAGTGTTTGTGGAAGATGACTGCAGCAGCTGTCCAACAGACGACACACCACGGTTAATCTTCTTTTAAAAATCATGTAATGAACTTGTTTACTTTTCTGTGAGCCATGAAGCTTTCAAATAAAGCGACTGTGGCACATCATTAGAGCTGGCCTGATAAAGAGGCCTCTGCTTCTTCATACTTACAGTAAATGCATATCTCTGTACCTTCCCTTCCCCCCTGCATTCCTGGCATTATCAAAAAGCTTTTTATCCCTCTTGCCAACCGCGCCATTAAAAACAAAACAAGTTGCTCCCTCCCTGTAGGTCCTAACATAAATACCGAGCCCTAACAACATTTGTTTCCAGCATCGCAATGGATGCACTGTGGGCTGTCTGAAACAAGAGAATTGTTCCCCCTGTGGGGCTGGTGCTGTCCTGGGCATGAAAGAGTTAGGATTTACAGTCCCTTCTGCTAGCCCACAGCATCATCCAAGGAAAATCGGATTCATCAGGCTTCTATTTGGGACTCCCAGCACACAGACTGTGAAAGCGCTTGCAACCCTACAGCTCAGACAGCTTTTCTAGTTGCAATTGCACTTTTATCCATCCATGCCAACTTGATTAATCCAGCGGTACATACCACAATCCGTCCTTGACTGGCTTTTTATTTGAAAGCCTCAATTTTTATGTGCTTCATAAAACACCTACATTTGGTGGCACATTCTCTGCTGAAGCTGAGGGTAGTTTTATAACAATTATTAAAAGAACAATACAACCTAAACCAACCTTCCCCAAAACCTAGGACTCAAAAGAAAGCAAAACCAAACCTTTTGCTGGGATTTAAAGCCTAGTTGTATTTATTTTAGCTTGGATGATCTCTGTTATGATACTCTACTGATGCATCTCTCTTATTTAAATCAACAGCCTTATTTTTCAGTTTTGCTTTCCCTGAACCATTAGTGTGTCCAAAGTTTGTGATCCACTTGGATTAAGAATTTAAGTATTATACCATTATTTAAACATTAAATTTAAATTAAAAAAAAAAAAAAACAAGAAAACCAACAGGACTTCATTGTTCTGAGGTCATAAATATTCCACGTTGTCTCCTTCTATATTTATAAAGTGACATCGCAATTTGTAGTGCTACCATTTAGCCTTAACTACAACATTGTAAAGTCCCTATTTGAGCGTGAGACACTTGTTTATTGATGTGATAAATTTAAACCACATGCATCCAGAAAAACACAACACTTGCTTATTTGCAAAACCTGCTGAGAGCTACCACACCACCTTGGATCGTGGGCTCATTAGATCTCAATCTAAACAGGGTCAGGCTAGGTCAGCACACTTGAATGAATGACATTCAGAGGAGAGCCAGTGTTCTCTCGTGATTAAGGAGGTGGGAGTCTTCCACTTGGAAACTTTCCAGAAGCCCTGAAAAGGTGCTAAAAGGGGTATTGCCACTGGATGCCATATTGTGAGTAAAAAGACAGACCCCCAAATCTTTAACACTCATGCTTATGAAAAGCCATGTCACCTTTGCAAGGGTACAGAGACGTCAGCTCAAACACTCCAAAGTTCATACTATACCACTTCCATCTGCATACAAAAAGCTGTGACTGCCAACACAGTGCCCTTCATCAATGCCAGCCTCTAAACTTCTGAATTGTATGTAAACACAGTAATATACTGTAAATAGCCTAAGACATCAACTAAAAATATCTGGAGGTTTCAGCTGTGGCAGTTTTAGATACCAGTTCAAGGTTTCCATTATTCTTTATAATGTGGGAATACTGCACCAATTTAAAGCATTTTGTAGCTCTTTAGTAATAGGCTTACCCGTACCAAAGGGGGAGCCATCTCAAACTGCAGGAAAGCATTTCACAGTGTAAAGCAGTGTTTGCTACGCGATTCAGAACAGAGAAGAATAACTATAACTGCAAGAGAACCTGGCAGAAAGATGTACCCAAGACAGGATTTCTTGCAGTCATCTGACCCCTTTTCCTGCAAAAGAAAGAGCGTCAAAACCAAACAGATGAAGTTTTTCAGAGACTGCATCCGCATAAAAGCTTTCAGTGCCAGAGGACTATGAACCATAATAGCTGGGTAACCAGTACCAAGATGGTATTAACAGCACACTAATTGTATTATGTTTCAGCAGAGCAATAAGTGCATTTCTTAATCTGTTTCCAGATTCAGCTACCCAAAGGTTCTTGGCTCCATACTTGAGTAAAACTGAAGACATCTTCTAAGGATTTCTGTTCCTCCTTCTGGCTCATCACTTCCAAAAAACTCCTAAATCTGCATTCCCAGTTTTCTGCCGCCAGCAAAGAATAAGCTTGACAGAGTCAGAAACTCTGAAGAAATCCCACAATGAACTGAATACTCATTTATTACAAATTTGCCTTTGGGATTCGTCTGTGTAGGTCCGTCTGAGCTTTCTGCCTGCTCAAGGGTTCAGCTTCTCTGCCAAACCTACAGCAGTAACCACAGACCAAGCCACAACACCAAATTTACTACTTATTGGTACCAGTGAATCCAGCTCCTCCAAAAGCCAACAGACGTTTCTACCAGCACAGCCACACAAGTCTCTACAACAACAAAGCAGGCAATATCAGAAATTCAGAGGAGTAAATTATAACTTGACTGATGAATGAATAAAAAGGACATCAAATATCTGAACTCCAAGGAGAAAGAGGTGGAAACGGACGATATGGCTTAATTCCTAGTAGGAGCACTGTACTGCCTTGATTGTTCATTAAGTTCATGTTATTTCATAACTTTTAATACAGAGAAATGTCAAAAGGGGCTCTGTCCACTGACCAAGAGCTGACGTGGAGCTACCGACCCGTCACGTAATGGCTTCACTGACAAGCAGCCTTTTGCCCCAAAAATGCCCTGTGCATGATATCAGCATGCAAAACGTCCTGTTTCTGTCGTACACAATACATTTGATCTCAGATAAATAACTGGCCATCTGCCAGCTTAAAAACAAAAAGCGGAATCTATAAACAGTGTTCAAAACCTACAGAGAAGAAAGGCTGGCAACCCTTTAGATGCAAGGTTCATAAAAGAAAGATTGACAAATGATTTACTATCTGAGGCTTGCAAAGGAACTGTGCTATGACTACAGCTATAGAATTTGCATAAAACAGTTCAGGGCCATATTAAATTTAAAGAACTATTTTCTATCATTTAGCACCTTATGAACAGAAGTGGTACGGCCAGAGAGGGCAGATGGAATTTCATCAGCATGCCAAAAGCACGTTTTGAATGAAAAGTAACATTTGTAGAAGTTCCTCCTCGCATCATGCTTGTAGCACTCACAGAAGAAGATTTTGGAATAATTATACATTGCTCAAAGAAAACCATAAGGGTTTTCCATAGACGTGAGGTGGGTTTAGAATCTCAACTCCTCACGACAGAAACACTGCAAATTATTTACCTTACCCTGATTTGGAAAGGTTTCTGTAGGTGCAACCTGGGCAGAAAAGCCTCAAACAAGTTCTTGCAGGAAGCCAGATTTAAATAAGAACAGGCTTTTTATCTTTCTGATCCAGGAAAGGATTCTTTTAGCAGCTGTGTAAATGGTGGGGGGTTTTAAGCATCCTTGTGGACACAGCCATGGTACCTCACAAGCACAAGTAATCAGGTAGCATGTGAAATCTGCAGCTGTAATTGAGAATAGATGCACCTTTATTAGCTCGAAACTTGGTTTAATTCCCATCTATGTGATCTTTACATGTTTCACAGATTTATAGCCAATTCCTAAGTGCACATAAAGTGTTATCATTAGAAACTGCTGCATAAGAAGAAATGGAACAATTTACTAAATTAAATGAAAGCCTTTATAAGCACACAGAACATGATTTCTGTAAATCTATTCTGCTGAATTCCACTTTATAGATTGCTTGCTCCTATAAAATACATACTGTAGCAGATTAAGATCTAAGGCACAAATTAGTATCATGTTTATTTCTCATTTTCCTCCACCACTATCACAGTCCTGAACACAACAGAAGTATTTAAGACATCACCACGACTGCAGGCTTGGGGAATGCAGTTTTGCTTCATTTGCACCTCCAGCCCTGCCAGGAATTCTCACGTATTTGTTGGAGGATTTTTGCTTTCTCCCTTCCCATTCATTAAACCATATTCACCAATCGGGAGAAGATGGAATTAAAAAAAGGAAACCCCTTGGAAATCATTGGTATCCACATCCCTGTGGCTCACACACGGCCCTTTTAACCCGTCCCCAGAAACACACACGGAGGAATTTTAACAGAAGGAGCACGAGGCTGTCGCAGCGCTCCGGGTTTTCATCGCCACCAAAGTCGCCTCCTTTAGGGGTGCTGCTGCTTCCTCCTGAAGCTGCAACAGGCTTTGGGCTGCGAGAGGAGGTGGGAGCAGAGCGGAGGCTGTTTTGAAATCCTTGCTGGAGAATTACATAAAAAAATATATAAATAAATAAAAAATAAAACCACCCCAAACCACGAGCTCCATCTCCTCCAATGAAAGAGGTACCACAGGGTGTAGGCAGGTTGCCAGGCGAGCTCGGCAGCGTGACCGCACTGCATTGAGTTTCTTTAATGAAAGCCAGGAAAGAACACATTACACAGTGTTTCTTCTGAGAGCCAGCTAGCCTCCAGTGATTGAAATCAATAAAAACAGTCGGCAAGGGGCCCAGTGGGGGAAGAGAGAAATCTCCACTACAGCATTCAGTTTGCTTTCCACTTTCTCCCTCCCCCCTAAAGTTAGACTCTGAAGATCACCATGACAAGCTACTTTGCTTCCAGCGCTGGGAAGACGCTGGTGGGGATCTAAAGGAAGCGAGCACTTTCCTTTGCCTCCCTACCTTTCTCCCCCTGGCACGAAGGAAATTTAAGGCTTTTTTGGAATTTGAATCCTGCCTGGACAAACTTCACCGGACAAGTGCATCGTTCCGCATTTCAGGAAAGGGATGGATTTTACGGCTGGAGAATGCTAAAAGGTGAGAGGGGGAAGAAAAGCAGGAATCTGATTCAGCCAGAGCCCATGTGCAGGCTAGGATGTCCACCACGGCGGAGGGCACCTCTGAAGCTGTGGGAAGGGCTGCAAGCAAGCGCCTGAGGTCGGCACGATCCACATCCTAAAGCAGCCGGAACGTTGGGAACACGTGACTGACGCACTGACCCAGGTAAGCAGAACCACTTCTATCGGCTCTCTGTACCGCGTCCAACACTGAGGGAGACCTTTCTGCTCCTGCCTCTACAGACTGCCCCATGTCCTCCCTTGTTAACCTCAGGCATGCTGACACTAAGCTTGTCCCATCTGAAAACACGTCCTGCCACTAATCCTCACTGAGCTATAAAACATGCACAAAAGCCCTTTGTTTACCCTTTTTTTGCGTTGAATTCGCTAGTTGACAAGGTAGAACAAGTCCAGCCGCTCCAGGAGCTCATGTTCCGGGGCCAGGAGGGATCACTCAGAGGAAGGGAACACGACTGACACCACACGCTGGAGCTGACTGCGATCTGAGAGAGTGCCAGTAATGAATTTCTAATATGGTCCATATTTATCTATTTTATTTATGTATTTTAATCACCATAGCAGCCACATACAGTACATACTTGCACCGAGCTCCACGGGCTGAACTGTACCGTGAATTAGAGCAACTTGCATGCACAAGGGTTTGTCTGATTGTGTTGTCAAGAAATTACTTGTTAAAACAGCTGAGGGGGATTTCTGGCACACTGTTCAGGAATGACTGACACCGTACAACCCAGCATGTGATATTCTGACATGACCCTCTGCATGCACTTCTTACACAGTTACCCCTATCAGAATGTGAGAGACACAATCACAGCTGTAGATCACAACATTCTGCTCAAGTTTTTAGCCAACCTCAGGCTGTTTATCTAGATTTCAGTGAGACATGAAGGGTGAAATCAAAGCCTGCCTTTTTGCAAGGCAAGCAGAAATGATGAGAGCTACATCTCTTTTCCAGCAGTGGCAGGAATTCACTGGAACAGATAATAAATAGATGCCTGTGGAGCAAGAGCAACCATGCTTGCCCCCTCCATGCTGGTCACCATTAGGTGTTGACAGCAACACACATGCTCACTGTCACAGGGAGCTGAGGAGGGACTGGATGCCTCCACTTCCACTCAATGTTTCGGCACCTCATTATCCCAAACCCGCAGGGTACACAGTCTGGATGACTCTGATGCTAAAGATGAGGCTTCCCAGCATCTCCTCCATTTCAGTTCCAGCAGACAGAACGCAAGAATTCAGTCCAGCAAGTGCATATGTATTTCTGCAGGTGCAATGTTGCTGTTCCTTTAGAAAACACAGCCTGTTAAGGGTGATTTTATGATTTTCAAAACCACATGGAAATGGAAATGACCCCCACACTTGAAGAGTGACCTGAAGAACACCTCCATAAGGGACTGTTATTTTTTGCAGATGTTTAAGCATTTTTAAAGCATGAAGTGTTCTGATCAAGCTACAAAAATAGCTGAGGCTGGATTTAAATAGTAAGAAGTTTTTACGCTGATTTGATCAGTCCAGTTTTGAACTCTTCACACAAAAGAGCCACAAAATTACAGCTGAAGGTGTCATTAAAGAACAATAATTTACAACAAAAAAGCAAAGGTGTGATTCATAACAAAATACAGCCCCATATGAGGCTCTGGGCATATCCACAGACCCATGATCCACCTTTACAAAAGCTGTTCCATGTCTTGCCTGCCCCTGCACAGATGCTTTGCAGAAATGACAGCACCTTCACAGCTCAGGAATCACAGCAATCACTCCCACACCAATCAACAAGTCTGTTTTGCGCTGCTCTTGGAGCTAAATTTATCCTTATGCAGAGGAACTCACTGAAGGCTTCACTTGAAATTCCAAACGAGGAAAGCTTAGGTGAGACTTAGACAATGCAGATCACTTGCACCCACATTCTCAAGCTCAAATGATATTCCTCCCCATTACTCCCTCAGCAGGAAATGTAAATATTATCTTTAAAGCAGAGTGCAGGGTATTTTTGTTCAGTAATGTATTTTTCAGAAGCTCGGGGGTCTGAGTTTCCACAGCATCTCCTGTTAATGGAATGTGCTCTTTTCAAACACACAACATAGAAGTGTTTTCTCGTTCAGAAGTTTTGACCAAAACCAGATATTCTGGCAGTCACAATTCAAAGCAAGGCTTCTCAACGTTTTTCAGGCACGCCAATGTTATTAAAGGAGATTCCTTAAACAGTGACCCGGTCCTTCAGACTCTTCCTTTAGAGTATGGAGACCTTGAAGAATCCCACGTTGAGTTGGATATAATGAAATAGAATCAATGGGAATCTATTTCTCATATTTCTACTAGTCTTGATAGTCCAGATCAACAGTACTTCATCCTCAAAAACAAATCACACCTGCACCATAGTTAAGAGCTCCTAAGAGCTCATGCCAATTGTCCTTACAGCCACTTTTACTGGTAAAAGAGCTTTTGGAAAGCAGCATACAACGCTTTGCAACAGTCAGCAAAGCAGATGAAATGAGTTTAAAGGTGGAAGAATAAACATTCTTTTAATTTCACCTATCAAAATCTTTATGAAGGGAAAGATCTGGGGTTCTACAGAAAAAGCAGAATGCTTATTCCAAAAATGCTGAAATTCAATGATGAAAGTGCAAACATCAGGGTCTGCTAACCACTTGGGTAGCCCACATTGGGTGAAACACAATACTGGTGTCTGTGCTGGTGGAAAAAGAGTGCTGCCACCCCTTTCAAATGAATATGATCTGACGCTTCTTGGATTCTGTAAAGCTTCAAGGTATCTCCTTTCCTATTTACACCAGTGGTTCATGTCACAGTACTGGATTCACTCAGCTGAGTATATTTAGTTTGCTCAGCCTCAAATTGACAGCTTCTCTGTTATGTGCCCGTTCTGACTCAAAAATGGAACATAATTAAACATACAGTTGGAGAAGGTACAATTTTCCCCCCACCCATGGGAAAAGCTGGCGAAGCAGAACACTAGCTATTAAATGAAAAATCCATGGATATCAATCCCTAGGAAAGGTAGCTTTCCTTACAATTCAAACAGGAAACCTTACGTTTAACTCAAATTTTGTTAAAAACAAAAAAGCCATCCAAACACGTGAAAAAAAATCATACCTCTTTACCAACAAGTTATCATTAGATTAAGCTCTAAAGTACAACAGTATCTATACCTAGAGGGAATTAATGTCCTTGTGTATACACACTCTACTTTCAAACCTTCTGTATTGTCCTAGGCCTCAACAAAAGTTCTATTTATTAATTTCTTATTAAAAAAAACCAGCATCACTTGTAGTTTGCTATACTAACATCTTTAGAAAAACCCACCTAAATATTCCAGAACATATTTTGTACACACTTGTATATACCCTCAACTACACACACATGTATGGAGGAACATGCAATCTTCAATTTGTCATGAATGAGACCCAGAAGGAGACAGTCACGAAGATGGAGTGGGCAGGATTCACTTCTCTAGCAGAATGTTTTCATTCATGATTCAACAACCCTAAAATAGACACCTACAGCAACACCCAGAACACAAGCAGCCCCTCAACTGTCCTGTACATTCATACCATAACAGCTGAGCACCAGTGTATGAACAACCTCAGCTCCTATCTCACCACTTGATTTGCTTTACAGTGGGATAAATGGTTTGGGAGACAGAGAATTGGACCTTAAGTCTGGGTATGAAAAGAGAGAAGCCTTTACAAAAAATAAGGAATGAATGTGATGGCCATTACAGATTTTTGCATTTGACTTTATGCCCAGTGATAACCAGAGATGAGTGACTCAGGTTAAGACAACTAATTTCTGTGAAATTATTATTCTTGTAAATGTGTATCATTTCCATGAATAGACCTTTGAACACCTGTATGCAGAATCTGAACTTGTTTAAAGAAGCAAGTACTATAAAGCTCCCCTTGTATCTCATGTACAGTTCAGTTCCCATTGAACATTCTGGCTTAGGGTGTTTTGTCTGAAGGAGAAAGCTAAAGGAATAACATTTCTAAGAGCTGGCACAAGTCACACGATGTAGCTTTCTTTCAGGTCTGCTTGCTGCTCTTCCAATCACAATGACCAAGTACAATTAGTTCTGTCTCATTAAACATGATCAGTAGGAATTCCATCCATATTTCAGCATTTTGAAAGTCTCTGAAATTAAAGTGCAACCCATGCCCAAACCCTATTTATTTAGCAATGCTTTACATGCTTTCTGTTCTTGTGAGCAACCTTGATTAACTATACATCTATGATACTAACTGTTAGGCTCTCCAAACTTATCACACAGTCCTGGAATGCTGAAATGACATCTGGATTTTATAGCATCAGGTGTGCCCTCATTATGCTTTTGGGAGGCAGAGCAGAAAATTGAAAAACAATTACAATTTAAGACCCTAAATTAAAACCTGTTGACTGTTTAGTAAAAATACTCTATAAAACCTGCTTGTATTTCACCAGACCACACTGAAAGACAGCACTGTAAAAGCAGCACAGTACAAGGTGTTGGTGGTGGTTGCTTATTCTGGAATTAAGGCACTAGGAAGTCCACAAGAGAGGGACTGTTGTGTAGAATGATAGAGCTGGGCCCTACAGCTTCCACACAATGTAAGGCTGAGGAATTCTGCAGGAGAGAAACACAGCAAGCAAAAGTAATACAGTTTGCATCCCATTTTTCAACTCTCAGCTGGTAGTTATTTTAGGGAATCAGAGTTCAGAAAGCTGCCATACAGTGTTTTAACTACTGTAATTAACATAACAGTTCTGGTCCATGCTTTCTAATGTTTAGATGCATGACTCAATTCTAGTTGCAGTCAGGCCTTCTAAATTCCGTCTGTTTTTATGCATCAGCAGAGCCTTCTATTCCTACACTGCTAGGGTAGGCTTAGCCAAGGGCGAGATAAGGTTGTTAGCACATCTCCTACATTCTACATTCATTTATCTAATGACTAACCTAGGATGCCACTTCATAATTACTCTGAAAACTCCTGCTGCTCTAAAGCAAGCCATGGGGCTGACTCTAATGTCCAACCCGAAGAACGGTGATACATATTGGAGAATGAGAACGGCACACAAAATGGAGAGAAGAACATAAAATCTGCATACAGAAGGCCCTCACTGGCAAAATATATAGAACGTTCTTAAGTT